TGCAAAAATTAAGAAAATCCTGCTCTAACATTGAATAAACACCTCATCTAGAGCTAAAATGTTATAAAAAAATTTGTGACGAATACTCTAACATGGGCAATTATCATTGTTACATAATTTGAACTAATTTCATGTAAAATCTTACAGGATGTATTGTGTTTAAAGTGTGGAAACAAAGTTGCTTGACATCTATATATATGTCCAAATAGCAATATATTGAGTAAAACTTACATGCAAGTACACATCGTATAATAATATATTCACATCGTAAAATGAAATATTGGCATAATATATTGATAAGCTGACACTATATAATGATGTTACCACATAATATATAATAAATGCTCATCGTATAATGACAGGTAATAGATAATGATCATATAAAGACACATTGTTCAGTTGAATTCATATACGGATGCTTTCACATAATATATTGATGAGTGCACATTGTAAAAAGAAAGAGTGACACAACAACGTTCATTTTTAGTGTCATAAGACAGATAAGACTTCAATTTATAATCTCATATCAACAAGTAGGTGTACCTTAGTCTTGAATAAGTTGTCGCTGTTTCGTGCTTCCAATAAAATATTTTAGTAGTGCTCATGGTTTTGATAAGAGTATTCGTTACAAACTGAGACAGGGTTCTTGGTGTGAAGTGTTTGTTAGACGCACCTTGACAAATTTTACGAGCCATTTGAAAGTACGTGTACTCGATCGTCGTGATATTTAAGTAGCTAGTCTTAGAAAATATATCTTATTAAAACACATTAATGACAAATTGCAGTATCAACAGTATCTGCGTTATTGTAACAACACGTATCTACAAAAAACCGTTGGGGTACATTTCAACTTCGTTAATTCCCAATTTCATCTCCGTGAATTCACAGTTATAACTTATTGAATTCATTTTTTAATCAAACGGAATTCAAGAATTCACGATTTCATCGTTCATAACGTTGAAATCATGAATTCATGAAGTTGAAATCGTGAATTCGTGAAGTTGAAATGAAGTTGAAATCGTAAATTCATGAAGTTGAAACCGTAAATGTGATGTTGTCAATTCATGAAATTGAAATCGAGAATTCGTGACAATGAAATCTTGAATTCGAAAAGTTGAAATAGTGAATGAACAGACTCATTCAAACCGAGCCTATAACATTTTGAATTTTGTCGTTTTGTGCGTTGTTTAGGGATTCTTTTTTTCTTTGTATGTAGACTTTCGTGGTGACAATGTTAATTTCATCACGTGTGTGTCCAATTGTCAGAAGAATATGTTTTTATAGCTGTCTTTAACGTTTACTTGTTTATAGTGGAAGGCGGCACTGGACTTATTTTTTGCTTAAAGACATTGGAAGACTTTATTGTTGACAGACACGTCGAGCATTTGTGATATTTAAGATTGCGTGAAAGATGACCTCCAAGACAGCAATCAATTAAACCTTTGGCATAAATAGCAACATAATTTTAACAAAACAAACAATTATCACAAATGTCTATAAATAAATGAAGATGTCCTTAGCATAACAATAAAGCATCTAAAATTTGTACTTTTCGATAGTATCACTAACACGTTATCTTTGAAAATGAAACTCATACAATCCGAAAAGAAATGAAATATTTTTATTTAGGTAGTATAAATTTAAAAATAAGGACAAAACATTAAAATGTTTCAAATCTGTGAAGTTTATATGTACTTTACGTACATATTTGTGTACGTTACCTTATATGAATTTAGACATTTATAGCATTAAAAAACGGTATCGAAATATGGTTAACTCATTCATAGCGTAAAACAACGGAAACAAAATGCATAACATTTAGGCTTCCTTGAATGTTTTTTCCTAACCATTTTAAACAAAAGACGAACACAATGCGATGAGGAGTAAAATACAAGACTGGGCCACTAAAAAGAACACATGCTGTTTTAATAATAATACTTATAATGCGTTTTGAATTTTTACTTGAGAAAAGTAAGAAAACTTATCGTTATTAGCATTGGCGATATGAGAATGATTCTATTCTTTAGTGAAAAGAACTTGGACATTCCGTCAAACGCCCACTTTCAACCAAATGCAGCGATGACCAATAGTCATTGCTTAACTGGAACTCTTTGGTCATTGATATACATTACACTGCCTTATCAAGCCGGTGCTAGGGGGCGTGAGGGATATTGCACGTATTCATTATCCCTCATGTACAGACTCAATCAAACCGAGTCTGCATTTCTCTAGTAATTTTGTTGTGATTTATGCTTTCGAGGGATCAATTTGTTTCCAGATTTTTATCAGACACAAAATATAATACACGACTGCCAATATCTCAACAAACTACAAGGCGCCTGATTTTGTCAACTTCAAAACCCTAAGAAACATGATTGGGGGCCGACTACATTTTTCAATACCTTTTTACTCAAACAAATTTGGATCTTCATCTGGAGGATATGCAATTCTCTGAATAATTCTGCTGTACACAACTTTGGTACAATGAAAAAAAAGTGATTTCCCAAATCACCAGTGTCTGCATTAACACTTAACCTGACGAACATTATCCTTGCATACCAATAAAGAACCGTATTGAAGTCAGCAGAAACATTTACAAATGGTGGCAGAGTAGCCGTTCTCAGCACATTAAAATCAGTTCTTGTTCCAAAGTAGCCGGCAGTTGTGTCAAAACTTTATTATATATAGGCAGATAGAAAATTAGATAATATGTCTAAATTGGTCTTAACTGTTCCAGTAATGTCGAAAACGGCTCTCTCCTGAACAGGTGTCTCTATAATAATTTAACAACAAATACTTTGTTTAGCCATAATCAAGAGCAATAGCAAAGCATCACTGTCATCCGGTATTATTGCAATTACTTTTTTGTTTCTTTTGCGATGTAAAAAGTCCACCGAGCAAGGAGAGTATCTGCCTATTCATCTAATATTGTCAAACCATGTAAATGAATTTTAGCATATTGTTACATATTGATAGGCATTTCATTTTTCATTTTTGATAAACGTTTTCTCAAAGCAATCTAAGGCCCATTAAGTCCCCAAAAACGATTTTGATTAAATTCTTATTTTGACAACCTTTGGATGTTTTATTACGATTTCTCGACAGTTACTAACTGCCTTTTATTATAGCTTCTTTTGCATTAACAGTTACACAATAAAACAGTATATAAATATTTTGCTTGGAAGTCAAACAATCACTTTGTTTACGATTTGCTAATTTTAAGTCACATCAACATTCGTGAAAAATTCTAAGTCAATAACATAAACATTCTTTAACGCATGTGTGTTGTTCAAAAGACTAAAAAATGTATTTAATTCTGAAGATATGCCGTTAAAATGGGAATGACACTCAAATAAATACGGAGAGGTTATACATGCTATATGAAAATAATCTATAGAATAACCTTCATCATACACTTTTAGAAAATGTCGGACAGCCTGTTACTAAGGTTATATTGAATACATCCCCCTCGGTCTTACGGATAACGAATACTTGTTTAAGGATATGGTGTAACTACTGAATATTTTAGAATTGCCTATTTAATTTCTTAAAGCAAGCAATCGTTGATGATTTGTTTAAAGCCAATATTATCATCACTGTTTATTGTTAATTTTTGAAACTAATTTTTCCAGTTCTAATCATCAAGTATTTTGAAATAAATTGTCTAAAATAGAGGAAAATCGTGAAAACAGGTCATAAAATTCAAGGTAAACGGGATTTAAAAACGCGAAGGCACATTATGCCTCAGAAATAAATATATTATTCCTTCTAAGGAAAGGGCAAACAATGATTTTACAACCTTTAAACAAGTTATAATATTGACAAATAATTATCTTTTAAGAACGTCTTTTTAAGATAATTAACTCAGTGTTTTTGATCATTTTGACAGTTAAAATGAAAGCTTTGAACAGAGAAGACACCTCGAAAGCATTATGGACAATGAACGACACTAAACAGTTATAGATTTTATATATAATAATTGATTGCTTCAGATTTGAACAATATTTAGCTTAAATTGAAAATTGAAAGTACTTTTTAATGACCATTATTTATTGCATCATTGACAAAGCATTCATTTATACATTATTTTAAAAGCTAAGTAGATAGATGATTAAACTGAATAATCAAATATTTAAAAAAATGAAGTTAAACATTATCAAAGCAAGAATAATCACCTTACAAGAATGGGTAGCAGCTGTACTACATTATTCTTAAATAATGATAAATAAAATAGCAACTTTTGGAGGCACTAGATGTAAAGTCGAAAGCAGCTTATGCGTCCAGAAACCGACCAGATAACATCAGACACATTAGCCTTATGTGTATGCACATACTTGTCAGTCCAGCGTAGCGTCCATGGTAAATACGGCCAATATAAATAAAGAGTTGTGTACCTACAAATCCAAAGATCTCGACTTCGACCCTTCGCATCTCCAACGTAAACAACCAACAAGTGTTTAGGATGAGACATTATTTTTCGAAGTTTCATGGCACAAAACTTCCCACTTTACAAATGTGCCGAACCTGGTGGTATTTTCGGTTAATGGGTCTGTTACAGTAAGCTCGGAGAGATAAATAAGTAACCGTCTTCTGGTGACTTTAATTAGAAAATTTCCCCGTTTTTAATCTTAAACATAACTCCTTTAAGTCTTAAATATCATTTTAACAACAATGTTGAATATTGTTATCTTCTGATTTAAAGGTAATAATACACTTATCTTTTGTACACCTGCCCCTACCCAATCGCAGTGGCAACGAAAAGGTAAAAGAAAAGCTTTTTACATTAATTTTGTTTTCTGTCCAAGCACTGTTCCAGAATAGCGGAATGTATTCAAACTTGCAATAGAAGACATTTTATTATCTTACAGGACCGAGCTATCGACAGAAGTTTACAAGAGTCAATGTCCTTACCAAATAACGTTTACGGGTTGTATCGTTCAATCTGACGTTTAAAACATCTACACAGTGACTATTTCATTTATCAATAATAAAACATGTAACATGTTTCTCAATACGATTTTATTGAGATTTCTTTGCAAAGCAAATATTGATATAATCTATATTCTATAAAGTACACAACACAGTACACTACTGGTAGAAACAAAAATGGTTTTCAGTTTGACCATTTAATAGTTTAGAAATCCATGGTAATTTATCAGATTTCCACGTCATTACATCTGAAAATGTCAAAATATCTTTTGACTTATAGGTGTAAAGTTTATTTCAAAAACTTTTTAATAAGTTTAATCGTACAGAGAAAAAATAGGCATTTTGTTCATTTCACATTAAAAAAACAGGAAAAAGAAAATGCTGTTTTTTAAGCGCATTGATTTGTTTTTATTTGGTTGGAGGAAATACAAATACAGGCAATTCGTATTTTGCTTAACTCATCCTCATTTATGTACACATCCTTTCTCTTTCATCCATTCTTTATAAACTTTTATGATACTTTTTATCCTTCCTTTTGGTTCGATCAGAAGAGTGGAGCCCATGGCGGAATACAAATATCTGAAATAAAAAGAAACGTGTAAGTCTGAAAACAAAACTGGTTTTTTATACCCCATTAACATTAATAAAACCAAACCACACACAGGCAATTCACCTTAATTTCAAAGTTTGTACAAAGTGATTATTAATTTTTTTATAAAGGCTGTAAAAATGATGCGAGATGCCAAATATATATGACCTGCATATGTTAGATATAGAGGAAAAGGCTTTCAAGACATGTTAAAAAATAACTTAAATCATAGTACATGTACAGAGCCATTATTTACACCAGGAACATGATTGTATTACCTCTAGAAGATGATATGTGCGAAATATGTAAGTTTTGGATGATTACACACTACGATATAAATAAGGTTTCCTATTTTTTTCGTTAAACGTAGGGACCCGTGGGGCGTGACAAAAGTTGACCCAAGGGCATGAATTATATCACTTTTGTAAACAGACATGAGGGCAAGGCCTCAAGTCAGGGACACTCAAAACTCAATAAATTAACAAGAATGATATAAAATATCGAGGCAGCAGTTTATTCTCCCTTTATATTATTTTTATATTGTTTAGAATGTGAGAAGTAGGAGTCAGACACTGCTTGGATTCACATTTTTTTAAAAATTAAATTTCAACATACGTGTCGTTTCCATTTGCGTCTTGTGTTCTAAATCCGTCTTTGCCGATAATGAGGTATTGTTTGTCTTTTTGTAACTTGGGAAAATCACAACTTGATTTCCAGAAAAACGTCAGGTTGTCACCTTGCACATGGTCCCTGAGCCCTGTTATATAATATGTCTGACATAAAGCACAGAATGAGAAATATGAAATGATTAATCATTTTTTTTTCGCTGTGTATTTCCTTTTTCGGCCATTATTTTTTCACATTTACTTAGCTCTTAGATTCTGCAGTGTTGCAGATTTTTTTCCATTGAAATCGCAATTACAAGGTCACAGATTCGAAAATTTTAGCGAACATCGCCAGGAAACCCTACGAGTGTTGAGTAAATTAAAACAGGATTGGCTTGAAAACGGGTATGCTAAATGGGACGCCCGTCACCAAAAGTGCATCGAATAACACGAAAAAAAATACTTTGAAAAGCATTGAAGAAATTCTTATGATGTCATGACGTTTATAACTGCATGCACCGGTTATGAATAGGTAGCGTACTTTAACGTCCGATATAACTTGGTCACTTTTGGCCGCATACAGACGCATACATGGTTAATTTACTTTTCCTTAATTGACTTATTCAATTGTGTTATAACTGATTGAGTATCATGCTTTGTCTACAACATTTTGGGACAATATGAAAACAAAATAAACAAGGAAGGGTGGCGTTCAATGAGCGCAACCCCGACACGAACCTAAAAGACAGGATTACTAGCAAAGAGCCAAGCAGGGCCAAAATAAAAACAGGACATGCCATATGGCAAAGCACAGACTACCTTACAAAAATTCATATTCACGAGCATTTTTTTTATTTCATCATTAATGTGTATGACAATTCTGGGAAGCAATGTATTTGAAAGAAAGGTACGATATAATACATGCATAATCGTTCGTTTAATTGTTTTGTCATGAAGGTCATACTGTGACTTCAAGCTTTACTCGCGGGGGAAGACCTCACATGCACCTTCGTTACTTATTTCAAGCACCTTCGTAGAACTTATCAACCGTCTATATGCTAAGTTAATTGTTTGTCGCATGATTAAATTGGCATTTATGGGGTATCATTGTGTTACACTATGTCCTGTTGCATTGTGAACTTTGTTGATGATTTGGAAGTCAATTTTAGATTTTTTACAGTAAAGATAACATGTGTTTTCCTCATTCACTCTTATAGTACTATACATTACTCTTACACCAAATAAAAAAATAGTTCCTATCCCACCACTGTGCACTACAAAAAATGAAAAAAAAAAATGCTGAACATCAATTGCTCAATCTGGTCTCAATCAAACAGTACTTCAAAATGCATTTATTCATGAGTGTCTTAGATTCCTAAATGCAGAACCTCCTTATTAAAGAGTTTTATTTTCAGTGAGAAAATAGGTTAACATCGGTTCGGTTGTAGATTCTTTCTTCTCGATAGATTGTAATAGTTTAAGACATATCATTAATAAGGAAATATTTGAAGGTTTATGAAAACTTTTAAGTGTGAATTATGTACAAATAGGGTGGCTGTAAATGATGGTATGTTGAAAGATGCATGATAATTTGATGAACCTCATTCATGCTGTGCATTTATTTAAATTGTATTAAGATAAGTATTATTAACAATAACAAAGACTCTGAGGAAGATTTTCTTAATACGGCCCTTCCTATTTGATAGTACCCGACAAATACCTGTTTCAATCGGCTAGGTCAGTAAGATATGTTTTTCTTTAATTCTGTTGTTATCAGTCAAAAACTAACTTTCTTATCATTTTTAAAGCTAATATAAAATGCAAAAGAATTTTTATTGATAAAGTGTACTTTTGTTGTTACTTATACTTGTGTAAAAATAAAATAAAGTTTATTTAATGATACATATTAGAAGACTTATGAAATATTGTCAATAAAATATTGTATAATAAAAAATATATAGAATCGAATTTTGGATGCTAGACTCTGTTTTCAGCCCAAAAGTATCTAGTATATAAAACAAGAGCTGGTTTGAACCGGGCGATGCTCTCAGAATACGTTTTTGACAGAAAAGTACACCTCTTGTAGTTTCAGAGTTATATCCCGACAAATTTCAAAGTGCAATTAATCCAAATTAAGCAAAGCAGAGTAATTGTCCTTTGCACTGCACTTTACGCAAAGAGATCTATCTATCTACCAACTGAATTACGTGTTGATACCTCTGGTATCACAGTAATATCCCAGACAAAGTTCACAGTGTTAAAATGAAAGAGGACCATAACTTCAAAAATAGGCAATGCAGAGTAACGATTTCTTTACACTGCTCATGAAATCTATCTACCTACAAAGTTTCATGTTGATATCTCTTATAGTTTTAGGGTTATGTCCAGGACAAAGCTCAAAGTGAAAACAAGAAGAAAGGGCATTTACTCCAAAAATTAGGCAAGGCAGGCAGAGTTACGATTCTTTTGCACTGCTTATCTACCCTATGAGATCTATCTACCTGCAAAGTTTTTTCTTAATATATATTATAGTGTCAGAGATATGTCCGAGATAAAGTTCAAGGAATAAAAGTAAACAAAGGGCAATAACTCCAAAGTTAGGCAGGGTAATGGTTCTTTTGCAATGTACGTCTACGAAACAAACAAACAAACAAACAAAGTTTCTTGTTCATATCTCTTATACTTTCAAAGTTATGTTCAATGTTATGGACAATGTTCATTATTAAAAATGATCAAAGGGCTTCAAAATTAAGGAAGGAAGAGTAACTGTTTTCTTGCACTGCATTTTTATTGAGATTTATCTACCTACAAAGTTTCTTGTTGATTCCCCTAATGGTTTCAAAGCTATGTCCCGGACAAAGTTCAAAGTAAAAAATGAACAAAGGGCAATAACTCTAAAATTAGGGAAGGCAGAGTTATGATTCTTTTGCACTGCACTTTAATTTTATGAGATCTATTCGTTACAATGTTTCTTGTTGATACATCTAATGGTTTCAGAACTATTTCCCAGACAAAGTTTAAGTAAAAAACTAACAAAGAGTGATAACTCCAAAATAAGGGGAGGGATAGTTAAGTTTTTGGCACTGCACCCCGCCTCAATGCCCTTTACCATTGTGCGCAGTTTAAACAAATTATGCCTATGGGTTTTTAAGTTATGCTCCGGACAAAACGGACGGACAGACGGACAAGGCGGCGACTATATGCTTTTCTTTCGTGGAGCATAAACACATCCTCATAATTTAACAGACGAGAATAAGCATTTGATTCAAATTGTCGTTTATATGCGATTAAGATAGTGTTTTTGTTCTGTTTTTGTCTTTGATTTTTTTTCGCAAAGTGAAACAGCGTTGGAATATCTGATTGTTCAAATATGCGGTTTTATTCAACTAATTAAACAAACAAAAAAATTGTTCTACCACGAAATTTTACAAAAAATAGGTCATAACAAAGTGAAAGAAGAAATAAACATTTAATCAGCAACAAACATTCCTTTTTAGCTGTTTAATCGTTCTATTTCTTACTAGTGTGTAAAAATATTAATTACTGGACTTTATCAACACAAAGTTAAATAACAGCTACTTCACCTGGATGTATACTTGTTGTGACTTCAGTTATTGCCATTTTATTTTTAGAATCAGGATCATCCAATAGTTCCTTAACTTTGACTATATCGGCTGTAAAGAAAAAATATAGTGTTATCTAAAAGTTATCTTTACATACTAATCACTTTATACATTTAGAGAGTAATATTATAATTGTTATTTCTGACCCATATAACCGTCTTTAGTACTGCCCAGTGCCCATTTGTAAAGTACATTTTCACATAAATAAATAAATACGTTCCTTCTAATTTTAAGCTGAAAATTGTGCAGTATAATAAATTTGTTTACAAGACTTTCGGGAAGTTATACAGCATTGTACAAATAGCTGTTTCCTACATAACCCGTTTTTACCTACTTTTCATATTTTGTTTAAAAAATCTTTAGGAACATATATTCTAAGAATTCTATACCGACTGCAGGTACAGACCGTAATATTTAGCTCGAGAGTAACTGTTTACGACGGTATCGAAGCTTTGCCGAGTGTCCGTAAAACAATTACCCCAGCGCTAGATACTCTGATTTGTGAAGGCAGACAGTGTTTAATTGTTTTTCTTGCATTTTCCAAATTAATGATATTTCGGAAAATATCAAAAACAAAAAAGCAAAAGCAATAAACGAAAAATAAAACTGTCATTTAGCCTTTTTTCTTATAGAAGCGTATTTAGCATTAACAGCTTCATTCATAACGGCACAATGACGTCATCCTAAAGATGCAATTCATTCTTAAAAGGCGCGTAAGAATGACGACATTTATAACATGCGTCTTGTCTTAAAAGTGGGTGTAAAACTGTTATTTTAGCACCGATGTAAACAGTACACCATCCGGCCTGATATGCAAGAAAAACCATAATAATAATTAATGTTACATTTACAGACAATATGATTAAAATCAGCTGTAAATAACAGTTCGCTTTAGATCGGACCGTTACCAAATTTAAAGTCATTTCTGGTAACCTTTCACACAGCCAAGGATCGACAAACTTTTCGAAAATTTCGAAAGCGATGGGGTTTCTAATTTTAACCCTGCGAAAACCTATACCGAGTAGCTTATTTTCAAGAACAAACATTGCTTTGCCAATATTGCCGTCAGGTAAACTGGCCAAACAATCTTGCCCTTTATTAGTTGACTCAATTATTTCAAGTTAATTTGTTAAAAATATTTTAACAGTTTTTTTTACAATAATCAACAATCTGTTTAACTTCCACGGATATCGGTATTTTGATACTATTTCTAATGCCTATGTAAAAACCGGTTTGATTGTATTGCTTTCTCGGGAAATCCGAATTATAAAGGAGAAACACATACGGTTGCCATCGGATCTACATAAAAGAAATAAGTAGATCTGTACTTTAGTCAGATCGATTTACACATAGTATATCAATTAAGGCAGACACTGGATGGGATATGTTTGTAACTTAATTGATAATTTATGCAGTCACTTGAATAAAATATTTTACGATAATGTTTATAAATTTCTTGAATTCTGCTTGGCTTAAACAATTTGTATACAATGTATTGCCGTATATACCGTTAACCCCGAATCGCGCACAAATAATGTTTTTTACATCGAAAACGGTAAGCTAAATGTTTACATAGAATCAATTATTAAGTTTTGCAATTATGGCATTAACTTCAAAAGATAATGAAATTTTACGCCGCCATGATGACTTTATAATGTACCAACTGTTTTTAAACAAGCCATTGAACGTTAGATGTTTTATTATAAATTTGTCGTCAATAACGATTTGTGTTATGACAAATTTATTAAAAAAGTTGCTAAAGGGGATATACACAAAATAATATAGAATTAAGGGTCATTTGGTGTAGTAATTAAGGCACTAGCGAATACATGAGTAGGACGCGGTGAATTCTATATATTTCGAAACGACCGCTGTATGACAAAGGTAAATGTCTGTCGCACGATATTTATCTTGCGTAAAATGTTAGAAACCCAAGATTCACAAGATGGTTATGATTATGGCCAAGCTTGTCTAAAAGAATTAGCTTCTCCTCCGCGACCTATGCAAGTTTAGGTAGGGAAGATAGGTAGGTAAAACAAATATATCTAAAACATATGATATTGAACGTATATTCATAGTACATGAATTTGATTTAAAAAAATATTTGATTTAAATAAAATTCGTAAGATACGTGCAAGAAACGAGTTTGTGATTTACACGAAATCACTTAAATTATCTGATGATAAAGTCACTTGAGGACGATTGAACATGTTAGACTCAAAATGAATCCAGTCTCTGAATAGATCAGCGTATATACCCAATTTTGTCAAACTCAAACAGTAACGTTTTCTGTAGATTTCGGTGACATAAATCAAACTGGTGCAGAACACTTCAATATTAATCGGGACGTTGTTAAGACCTTATTTAAAGCATAGTATCTGCTCGGATGTCAGGTATTCTTATGAGTTTAACATGCATGTTGTAGACTTAGTTTCTTAACTGAAATAAGTTGCTGATCCATTTACGTATTGATAAACTATTATCAATATAATCCTTAAAGCTGCATGCCTCCAAATGAGTCAAAATATTTCAATAAAATCATACTTGAGAAATATGTACTAAGATTTTAGGAAAAGTAAAATGATTCAAGATTCAAGTAATATTTTACATGTTATGTGCGGTTAATGACTGATTTTTCGGTATTTACACTTATATTTCTACTGCGTTACTAACGCAGTAAGGGCTATTTATTATGCATATTTTGGCCACTTTTTGGTAATTTACGTGGGTTGTAAGTGCCATTGATAATGTGTAAATTGCTTCCTTTTGGTTAGTTCACAATATTATACATTCAAATACATTTTCAAAGTTTTCATGAAAATTAGCATGAATCTGGAGGCGTGCTGCTTTAAGATATATAGATGAATATAAGAGATACGTCTTTTGCTGAAAATCCGTTATTTCAGTACAATCTACCGAGAGCTCATTTTATTCCATTCTAAAAAAAACGGAAGGCACACGTTTATTTAGGTTTTAGATATTTGTTTTCTTTGAATATAATCCTATCCTTTAGTACTTTTTCAACAACATTTTTAATATGTGCATTTCCTTAAATCAAGCAATTCGTCTTTTGTACGTGGCACCTGATAAAAGGTAATTAAACAGTTGAAAAGAGACGTAACTAGACATTTTTTCCGCATTTGTCGCAACTATTTAGTAGTATGCTGAACGTCCTGTGTAGCAGGTGACACAAAATCATCAGCATGCCAAAACGCACTTTATTTCAAGGGCCATGTCCGGGCAAAAAGTATATAACAGGAAAACCCGTTTAATAAACTTAATAAACGCAGGAACTTGAGGTACGATCAATCCTGTTAAGTTTCATTCAAATTGCACAAGTTGTAAAAAGGAAGTACACTTAACGAAACTTATAAGTACCCCAGTTATAGTTTTCAGCATAAATTATGATATGATTAACGCAAATATTTAAAACTTATGCTGTGTAAAGTTTAATCATATTTTAACATTTCATAATAAAAAATTAATTTATAAACCACTCAAACTTAACAAAAAAGATCATAAACCGAGATCACTACCAGTACACAAATTCGCACCAGAGTCTTATGAAGTCAATATCGCGTATGTCCACCGTTTGCGTTAATTACTGCTAAGCACCGTGATCGCATTGACATAATGAAATTTCTAAAATAAGCCACTGGGATATTAGCCCATTCTTGCATTAGTCGGTTGTGTAGTTCTCTTTGGTTGGTGGGTGCATTCGGGCCTCTGTAGACACGCCGGCCAAGTTCATCCCATATGTTCTCAATCGGGTTGAGATCGGGCGACTTTGACGGCCAGGGCCGTACGTTGACATTCTGCTGTTGCAAGAGTGCTCGTGTTGTGCGTGCAGTGTGGCTCGTTGCCCCATCTTGCATTAGTGTCATGCCCCTGTTCTGTTGAATAATTGGAATGGCAACGGGGCGAAGAATTTCGTTCTGGTAACGAGCTGCATTTAAGTTCCCTTGAATTGCAACAAGTGGTGTTTTCACGTGGAGTGAAATTCCAGCCCATATCATTACGGAGCCGCCGCCGAACTGATCTCTTTCTACGACGCACGCATCAGCATAACGCTCACCACGTCGGCGGTACACACCGGTTCTCCATCATTTCCCTGAACATTGAAACGGGACCATCGGTAAACCAGACTTGTGCCCAGTCCGCATGTGTGAATCTCAGATGAGTCCTCGCCCAGCGGACACGTGCACGACGGTGGTGTCCACGCAGTGAATTTCCCGATACGGCTGTCTGGCACGAATACCAACGGATCTGAGGCACGATCGGACTGTGTTGCTGCTGATTGGCCGTCCGTGAGTACCAAATGTCGCCCTTGCTGTTTCTACTGCTGTGCGCTTCCGCTGGCGAAGGTGCGATAAAACCATAAACCGGTCTTGTCTGCGTGTTGTCACTCTACCACGTGGTCTCCTCGGAAGATTGGCGACACTTCTGGTACGTCTGTACTTTGAGGCCTGTCTAGTAATAGACTTCTTTGTAACACGCATTCTTCGGGCAACCTAGAAAAAAACAAAGGATTACAAGGTTCATACTACTGATATGCAACGGGCTTGTCGTAGAATGCATGCACTGAAATGCAATAAAACGAACAATGGGTATTGAACCACATACCTGCTCATGAGACGCTCCGGCTTCTAAAAGTCCAATAGCGATTGCACGTTCTTGCAACGACATACGAGCCATGTTTTGTGTTTTTATGTTAGGCACATCTACACTCTATCGATACATGTTTATATTGGTCATTATGGTCAGTTGCACGAAGTGCACGTGCTCGTTTTCGATTTTCAACGACCACTCTCAAAGTATGGTTTGCATGGTTAATTTTGCATAAATTCATTTTGAGCAGACGACAAATTGGGGCATTACATATAATCATTATCTAATGTGCATATTTTTAAAATAACACGTGTTTAATGCAAGTTTGTTTTTGGGGTACTTATAAGTTTCGTTAAGTGTAGTTCGGACAAACTTTTAAAATGAAAACCGTTAAAGCGCCATTACTTTTACAAAATCATTCAAGCGGAAAATGCCAGTAATAT